ATTTTGTGATGTAGCATCTTCATGGACTAACCTCAGTAATAAATAACATAAAAATAAAAAATCCAATTGAAATCTCTATTGTGTAGAAGAAAATATCAAAATCAATTTGAGACCGTCCATTCTTTTTAAGGGCAATTTATAAGTGTTAAAAAAACTCAAAGTTCAATTTTTTTTTTTTTCTTTTGAAAATAATCTAGTGATTCTTAGGTCCTTCCCCAAGTTTGCATAATCCTCTCAAGTAGGTCTTTTGACTGGGGGAATAGATGTACTACATATGCTCTCACAGAAGCATAGCATATGTATTTCTCAAAATATTAAATCATAAAATTAGTTATGGATACAATTATAAAAAAATTTAGGTTTTTCTAAAATGAGTACTTGTCGTGGATATCGCGAGAAAATGAGGAATTGTATAGGTACCTTAAAAATCTCATTGATCAACTAATTGGTGTTCTAATATGCCAAAAAGATAATAAACTCTTCTTCTTTTTGACAAGATCAAGTTCTTTTATTGGTATGGAGTGATTAATCCATCAATAGAAAGAATGGAAGGTTTATGTGCCATTGAAAAAAAAAAAAAAAAGAGAAAAGAAAAGAAAAGAAAGAAAGAAGGAAGGAAGAGGAAGAATGGAACCAACAAAGGGCCATCATAACAAATATCATGAATTTGTAACCATATATAATGGGGGAGACCAAGGAACTGATTGCTGATCATTTGACCATTTTATCGCATTAAGAGAATCACCCTCAATAACTATAGATCCCACAATCCTTTTACTTAAGATGATCTTCAGGCCTTGTAACAGCGAAAAAAGCTCCACATAGTTTTCTGTAGCATTGCCAAAGGGACCTTCATACCTAAAAATAATGTTTTGTTCATGGTTCCTTAGTACACCACCCACCCTGGACTCTCAAGGTTCCCAAAAGAATTACCATTAAATTTTAATTTTAGGAAACCCAATGGCGGGGCCTGCCAAGTACCATGGCATCTGATATTAGTGGTATTGCTGAACGTTTAAATTACCAAAAGATATCCACCCACGATACTCCTTTGCCCTCTTTAGTTATAGAAAACCAATTCCAGAGATGTTGAAGGATATTGTCCTCGACGGTACCCAATTCTAATGCGGCACCCTCAAATGCGCTTCTGTTTCTTTCTCGCCAAATCTCCCATGAAAATTGCCCCCCTAAAAACTTTCAATATAATTAGACCTGTTGTAGGAAGACCAGGCAAATGCAATCGATTAATAAGATAAATTGGAAGCTCTGGTAACATGAGATAGAATCCCAATTTTTGGAAAGCCCAGGCCAATATTTGCGAAACAAAAGGGCAATGGAGGAAAAGATTTGAAGCAGTCTCTTCATACTATAAACATACATTAGGAAGGACTTTCCCCCTTTTACAGAGGTTGTGAATGGTCAAATATTTTCCTTGTAACGCAACCCACAGCAATGCCTGAATCTTTGTAGGCATTTGACCATTTCTATAGAGAGTAAAGCACATTACTTAGACCATCCAAGACGATCATGAAATAACAGTCTCTATGTTGATTTAACTATGAAAAGGCCATTTTCACTCTTTAGTAAGTTTGTTGAAGACTCAACTCTCAAACTTTTTCAAAATTTTATGTGATTTGAATTTTGAAATTTTGAACAGGTTTATTCTTAGCATTCCATATGTTTGTATTGAAGAAAGTATGTTACAATACATATAAATACAATAAATTCAAAATTGACGCAAACATATGAATATATATATATATATATCTAAAGAATTTGTATTGTAGGATACCTAAGGTTCTAGGCGCTCGCCTAGGTGCTGGGCCCCAGGCCGGTTGCTTAGCAATTTTTTAAACCTTCCATGTGAAAATATCATACCATTGTGGGCCACTTTCATGTGAAAATAACAACGCACCTTATAAGGTGGGGAACAAGTTTCCGGTGTCTTATTTCCCTTCGGACCCAAAAGTAGAACCTCAAATCTGGTTAAATGGGCTTTAGTCCATTTACAAAGGAAAGAAAATTGCTCCTCTTTGGAACATGCTTGCTGGTCGCTTGCCCCTCTTGCTAACCTACGCACAACCCCTATTGTTCTCCTCTCTCTTGCTCCTCCCTCCAACTATCTTCTCTCTCAAACCCTAGCCTTTCTTCTTCTCCAATAAATTTGTCGGCAGGAAGACCCACGAAACCAACTCTTCCAAATAACCTCGTCCTGTGCCCTTGGCGAGATATAAACATCCTGAAGCTAAAGTTGCATGCATTGTAGCTGATATATAACAATATATGGCACTCTATTGTGTTGACAAGTAATGTTCCAAACTTGTCCAGAATTTGTTATGGAGACCAGATCAGAGACTCTCGCTGTAGGTAGGGATAATCTGGTGGAAAGCTATCTATGGTTCCCCTACAGCATAGAAGTTCTATCCTTCTTTTTATCCAACCATCTATTCTGAATGGAGGGTTAAGATTGCCCCAATCACAATGTCATGTCTCTACACTATTTTATTTTTAATGTTTTTCTATAAATTTTTTTGACACCAAATACTGGACATTCATTCATCTATTAAACTCGCACTTGCGAAAAATATAAAAAAATAATTTTAATAAAATAAAATGATCAAAATACCCCTGAAATTTTATCGCAAAAACTTCTTTCAATATTTTTTATAGGTGCGCCCCAATGAGAAGATGGCACGTATCAAATTTTATATTCATACAATTTTGTATAAAAAAACTAAAAAAAAAATACTTTGAGACGTCGAATCTAAAATCAAACAGTGAGTGGCTCTCTTGTTCAAAATTGGACTGCTGGATGGTAGAGGGAGGATGGAACTTCGATGCTATAGGAGGAGCATAGAAAGCTTGCCCATAACAATATATGGCACTCTATTGTGTTGACAAGTGATGTTCGAAACTTGTCCAGAATTTGTTATGGAGACCAGATCAAAGACTCTCACTGTAGGTAGGGATACTTGGGCAAACAAATTAGGAAAGGGCAATTGTCAACCCATTTATTGAATCAAAAGAAAGTGTTTTGACTATCATTGATAGTTCATTTGATGTTGCTTATCATGATGTTTCTACACGTATAATCCCTTTTCAAATATGAGAAACAACCAATTCTTATGCACTCTCTGAATTGCACCATTTATGTACTTTTAATAAATAATGTCTCAAGATTGAATAAAGACCATCCAATTTTTAGAGGGTAAGATCTAAATGTCAGGAAAAAAAATTTTCTTTTTAGATTTTAATAATCTAGTGATTCTTAAGGGGCTTTCAAAATTTTTGATAAAAAAAATCCTTTCTAAGTAGGTCTTTTGATCGAAGGAGTTTCTCCCACAGGAGCATGGTGTATGCGATCATAATCTAACGGATAGGAAATTAAGTTTGCCTTTGTAGATTCATGTGAATAAAAGATATGAATGGTGCATGGAATAGAGGGAACCATAGACCCTAGCAACCATACTCGTGGGTTTCATGACCTAACCACACCACAAACAACATCGCTTTTTTGATTGGGCCTGATTTTTATGAGTCCCCCAATGCATACTATTTTCATGCGGCCTCCCTTGAACACCCATTATTTGTATCGATCTTGGATCCAAATTTGTGGTGATCCATGATCTACCTTATGATGATCATGAATATAAAAAATATGAATATTTAGGTGTGGATGTTCATCTTAAAGATGGACGATTGTGATTGTGCAGGCTAGTGATTCCGCAGACTCACGAAACACTTTTTCCTTTTTTTTTTTTGATTCACCATAAAAAGCAAAAGTCATTTGTCACATGTACCCATAAATCTTAATATCCTTAAACCTTTTACACCCATCTAGAAACATGACTTGTACTAGTACTACTTTGAACACTCATTGCTACTTTTTATTTTATTTTTGTATAAGAAAGTCGCAATCATTATAACCATTGTGTAACCTCAACCACCTCTAAGGGTTCTTGTACTAAAGGTACCATACCTTAATCTACATTTTAAAATTAAATAGGAATCGCCTTGTTCTCTAACTCAAAATTCTCTAACTCAAATTGTTGATTCTTCTTACAAAAAAGTCTATTTTTCTAATAGAACTAAGCATTTCTCACCTAATCATACCAAATCTTGATTCCATAAAAGAAACGAGTTGTTCTCTTATCTAACCATATCTGGATCGGCAATTTTCAATACGGATAATTATAGCACTACTTTTTTTTTGTAATTATTTGTTTTAGAGATTGGAATATGCTTGCCATATCTTAGAAATATGGGAAAGATTATGGCAAAAGAGACGTCATAAAGTCAAAAATTTCGAAAAATTTGAATCGATGTGCCCTTGCAAGTTATATAAATAAGAGAAAGATGTTACTAGCCAAGCTACAATTTCACCCAGCTCAAGTTTAGAATCGTTGATCTAGATTGAAAATCACCGGTTCAAATTGGATCAAAAGAGTTTCCGAGCAAATTGCCACTCGGAATTAGGAATCAACCGTAATATCTCTAATTTACAATATTCCCCATTCTTCTAAATGTTTGTTTGATGAATTAAGATATAAATCATCCAACATATACTCTATGCAACCTTCTTCTTTTCCTCCTCCATTTTTTTATTTTTTTATTGGATCACCATTTTTGCCAATCCGGATCGGTCAAGTGGAGGACCGATCCATCTAGCTAACACAAGAGAGCAATGTTTCATCAGTGGGGAGGATCATTCACTTCCAGATCCATGTCAGTTTGCTGGATCGGCATTCAGATCTCGTCTAAATCAATCCCAATTTGTGATTCAAAAAATATAATAAAAATTAAAATAGGGGTTTATGAGATGGGACTTAGAGGAGACTTAAGAAAAAATCAGATAAGTTCTTTTAAAAAAAAATTGAAACAAAAATATATAAGGGGGTTTTATGGGGGAATCAAACCAAGACCCGTGCCATCTTGGAACCCGATCAATTCTTTTTCAAATTGGAGATCCGGATCGGAAATCATCGGGCTTAAAAACATTGAGGGGGAGGGGGGAGAGAGAGAGGACTCCCAGTTCTCCACATGATGCTTGTTTCTCCTGAAATAGAAAGCAAATCTCAAGTTTCCCATGAAAGATAGCTCTCCATCTAATCAAAACTTGCTTTTCTTCCCCAATTAAATGCGAGGTAACGCCTCAACAACTCGACCCCACATCACAAACTAATCCATGGTCGATATCTCATATCATCTCACAGATGAACCGAACACGTGTCCCCAATCCAAGCTCCTATTCTCATATGCATTTAAATCTCGACTGTCCACTCAAACAACGTTCGGCCCCACTGCCATGCACATCACGTTAGGCTTAGGCCATCACTATAAAGAGCAGTTGTTACTGGTTAGCCCCACTATGACTAGGAGGGTCCCCCTTTTAGTGTTTGCTCTATCAATTGAGATTAGGGTTAGAAACTCAAAACTATCACCAGTTTTTAGAGATCACTTGGCCTTTTTTTTTTACCAGAAGAGGTCTGGTGTCCATTGGTGTTTCTGTGTGTGTGTGTGAGAGAGAATGGAGCCAATGCCACCACCCAAGGCCGGCAGGGCTCGGAGGATGTCACTTGACATCTTCCAAAAAGCGGTCTCCGACATCAAAGCCGAGATCGGGTTTGCGAAGTACATGGAGGCGGTCCATGCAATGGCAGAGGCACATGAGACGGAGTGTGAATGTTGTGGCCTCCTGGAAGACTACACGCCGGCATACATAAGACGTGTGAAAGAGCACTTCTGTGGGAAGTGGGTGTGCGGGTTGTGCGCGGAGGCGGCTAACGAGGAGTCCCGTAGGCCCGGGGTGAGGATGGAGGAGGCGGTCAGGGTTCACATGGAAGTCTGCGAGAAGTTCAAGCGCAGTACCAGGATGAATCCGGCGATAGCCCTAGCGAACTCCATGGCCAAGATACTGAGGAAGAGCTGCTTGGCTCAAACCAGTGATCGCAAGTTTGGTAATGGGATCAAACCTCCAATGCATGCACCCATGCTCAAAGGGGGGAAATGATAATTGTAATGTTCTATTTTTTCTGTGTTTTTTCTTTTTATTTGCAACTTTTTTTGTCCCTCAATAACTCTTAAGTTGTTGTCTCTAGTTGTTTGCAGGTTGTAACTACAAAGTTGTATAAGCTTCACAACTTTTTTTTAATATATGCATGTGTGTATACACATACATACATGTGTACATGCATATACATAGATACATATTACCTTGTAATCTAGTTTCTTCGTCAGAGAAACCCATGAATGATAAGTGCTAATATACTAACCTTGTATCAACGGCCCATATAAGCATGCATTGTAATTTTTATAAGAAAAAGAAGTTGCATAAATGACAGCATGGAAGTTCTACTAATGCATGAAACTATTAGACTTTGTATTGGTGGTTACTATTTTTTTTTCTTTTCTTTTTTTTCTTTGACTATACAAAAGGGATCATCTACAAAGAGACCAGTTATTGTTATTATAAGGTCTCAACCATTCCCACTCATTAGATGTCAAATTGGATGGTTTGAATCTATTCAATGACACTCTTACAGCCACCCAATTTGAAATTTAAAAGACAAAAATAATTGTGGCCTCCTTATACATAATGTAAATGGTCTCTTTGTTGACAATCCCTATACAAAATCAAGGTTCAGAGACAAGTTGTCTGGCATCTCCTCAGTATAGCTAGTACAACCCAACTGTAGAGGGGTAAATGGATACGAGCAGTGTTTTAGAAATCGCAAAGTTCTGAGTTAGTTCGGAACTAGTGAGGTGCTAATCTCTGTCTAAAATATCCTAAGTTTTGCCCTAGTTCAAATGGTTTTTTTAACTTTTTTTTCTTTTTAATTTTTTTATACAAAAGAACCCCAAAAAACTAGCAAGCCGGCTTAGAATCAATGGGTGACCGGTTTGAGCCCTCAGATTGAAAACATATGATACAAGTACTACCTTGGTTTACTAGGGTGTGAAGTTGCAACACTAGCTCTCCAGTTTGAATCATGTAACTGTCCAAATTCGATGATAGTTGAAAGTGACTTTGTTCTTGCAGGCCAAATATAGGCTGAGATTCACCAAACTCTCTCCGGAAAAAATCCATTTTTGTAGGTTTTCATTGCCATTTTTTCAGATTCGTCACTTGGTTTAAGAGAGCATGCATGCAAAATGTGGGGCACAAGTTTCTTTTTAGAAGATTTATCCGCTCATTTTGGTGTTAGTTGTATTTGTTAGGGTTATTTCTTGGAAATAGTTTGAGTGCATGGGAGATGTTATGCGCCAAATGCACATTTGTAGGTCCACATTCAAGTAATGGGTGAGGCCATCTTTGCTAGATCTGCGCTAGTCAATTGAATGGATGGTCGAGATGTGTTTTGCTTCTAGCGCACTATGTGGACCACAAGATCATTTTCTTTAGGAAGAAAATTGCTGGTGCAATGTTTTATTTTCAATGGTTAAAGTTTGCAAATGGAATTTTGTGTTTCTGCCTCTACTTGAGTTCTAAACCATGATGGTTTCTCCTATTGTGACAGAGTACTAAGCAATACACAGTTATGGGTGTAAATGTTTCTCGCTATAGATTGCAATTAGTGAAAACTCCAGGATAAGAAATCATAGCATGTATGGCTAGGAACCATGACTGGTCTATTTCACCCAAAGTAAAATGTGAGCCCAAAAATGTCTAAGCAAAGGCATAAAAAAAAATGCTTTTACATGGGTTGGAGCAATATATCAAGATTAGTGAGGGACTTGGTCGAGTCAAAACCAGTATAACTACTAATACAATTAATTGAATAGGTTTTAGAAGAAAGGAAAGAAAAATAGATATGATATTATAGAAAAACGATTATATAAGGGCGAGGCCCTAAACAATCATTTTAAGGCACCCATAAAAAATTCACTAGAAAATGTTGTTTTGATGATAAAAAATCCTTAAATCAATCATCTAGACCTCAATATGTATAGACATGAGAAAATATATATTAAAAGTCTTAGAAATAGTGCATCTTATAATACATTTTCAGACCATCAGTTTCAAAATTTTCAAGTGTCCATAGATCTGCTCAATCTCTACTATTTTTTAAACTTTAAATTTTAAAATTAGAGATGGAAATGAATTTTTAGACCACCAAAAAGATTTTCAATACTGAAATAACATCTTTTGATACTCGACCACTTCAGATCTTGGGGGAAGGAAGGGAAGACTAGATAAACCAGATTTTGATACGATAGTGCCGGAACCCTACCTTCTTTTCCTCCAAGGGTACGATATAGCTGTTAGGCCAAGCCCCTCAGAATGACTTATATAAGGCCCAGGATAAACCGATGGGAATTTTTCTCTCCCTCGGATGAGCTGTATAGCCAAGAGAAACCATGAACCAGAATAGAAGAGCTTGCCCCACCCAAGAGTATATATTTCGTAGTAGCCTCATTAGACCGTACATCTCTATTGGTATATCCAGATAATAGGTAAGAGCATAAACTGAAACATTCTGGAGTTATAAAGATAGTTATTAAATCGTTAGCACCACATAAAAACATTCTTCCTAGATTAGACTATTTGAATGTGTGTGCTACTTTAATTATTTAGGGCGTTAGCCTACTACAAACTACACCCAATATTTTAAAACATAAAATGCATTAAAAGATTTATCCATCTTCATTTAGCAGGTCGAACCGGTTGAAGCCATTTGGTCTAACCAGCCAAAACCAATCGAATATCGGCTTTGACTAGTTTTCGAGCAAACTGAATTTTTACCTTAAGCCAAACTGGACAAGGCACTAGTACGCTATTATACTAATCAGACAATTGGTTCGATCTGGTCTTGATAACTATATGTTGGCGCTCTAAAGCTTATTCTAGAGACTTTTATGAGTTGGCCTTCTCATTGTTGCATGATATTTTTTACTTAAAAGCATATGAGTGCTTTGTGCACACTAGGTATGATCTGATCATTTGAGAGGGCAGGGACTTGAAGAAGAATGAGAGATGAAGAGCCAGTCCCACATGTAGATCAAATGCATGGGCATTCACTAGACAAGCAGCTCATGGTTATATGCTTTCTATATCTTTTTGCAATTGATGTATCTTAAAAGAGTCGTCAACCCCCTTCATACGGACAAGCCTCAATATGACATGGATTTCTAAAAGGATAGAATAATACAAGATGATTTATTTTGTACATGAAGGCCATGACCATTCCTAGCTATCAAATAAAAATTTGGCTAAGGGTGTACCACAAAGTTCTATTGGTGAAGGCTGTAGCACAAAGTTCAAGAAAATTTTATTTGGATATTGAGAGTGGTCACAATTTTATATGGGAAAGTATAGAATGAGACAATTTGCCTTTCGTACAAGGTGGTCACATTAATCTTGACCATTGGATGTGAAATTGGGTGGCTACAATTATTCTATTGACTAAACTCAAACTTCAAGAGAAATTTTCTCGAACTTTATGACACATTCAAGCAATCAAATTTAGTAGCGGAAGGTTATATGTAATTGTGACCACCTTGTATCAAAGGTAAATGATCTCATTGTATCCAATCTCATTTTATATCTAATGGCTAAAAGAGATTGTGAATTAAAGTAAATGGTATTACCGTGTGCTAATCCATTTCTAAACTAATTCACGCTAACAATTATGTCACACAATTTGATAACAAATATTCGTTAAGGGGTGCGGTTTGTATAGAGCCGAGGCTCTAAACAATCAAATCAGAGCGCACCTTCAAATAGTATCGAGAAATGCGATTTCATTACTAGAAATCTTTGATAAAATTAAAACTTCAAAAATAGTGTAGATTGTGCAAGATCTATGAATACTTGAATAGCTTGAAATTTGACGGTCTAAAAATGCATTATAAGATGCACTATTTCCAAAACTTGAAATCCATTTTTTTCTCAAGTCCATGCATCTTGATGTCGAGATGATAAATTTGAAGATATTTGGGCATCAAAACAACCTCTTCTAGGGAAATTGTTGAGGCAGGCTCTAATTTGATTGTTTAGAGCCTAGGCTCTATATAGACTTTTCCCTAAGTTAGGAGTTTGAATATTTTTAGAGGACAGCTTTTTTGTGTCTATAATGGCATGCATGTGGAGATATGCAACCATTTGATCTTTGATTGGATGGTTAGAAATGAGCAAAAATAATCTTATAAGTCGGTGCCAGTTGTATTTGCCAGACCATAATTGATGCATGGCATTGTTTCAGTTTACTCCCAAGGAAGCATAAAATTTTTTGGCATAAATTATAGGAGGGTATGTAATGAGACCCTTTAACTTTTTTTTAATGGGAAAAGTTTATATAGAACCGAGGCTCTAAACAATCAAATTTGAGCCTAACTAAAAAATTTCTCTAGAAGGGGTTGTTTGGATGCCTAAATACCCTCAAATTGATCATCTCAACAACAAGATGTACGGACAGAAAAAAAAAAAAAGATTTCAAGTTTTGGAAGTAGTATATTTGTAACGCATTTTTGGAACGTCAATTTCAAGATTTTCATAGATATGTCGATCTTCACTATTTTTGAAATATTAACTTTATATCAAAATATATTTTAAGGCTATCACAAAGATTTTCAGTTTTGAAACCACATTTCTCAACACTATTTGAAGATAGGCTCTAACTTGATTGTTTAGAGCCTAGGCCCTATACAAACCACACTCGTTTTTAATACATGAAAGTCACAACACCTTCAACCATGCTAGAGTGAAGTAAAATCATGCTTCCTAAATTTACAAAACTCTACATCTTTGATATTTACGTATTTTTGGCCCCTACTTGGTTCGTAGGCTATCCAGTCGAGATGCCTCTTCTAGAATTGGAATCTTTATATGCATCTTTTAGAATATAGGTGTCTACAATCTGGATATTTTTTGGCAAAAGACCTGAAATACGCCTATTCAGTGTTTAGATTACATCGGAAGAATATATGCGTCTCTTGGATATTATATAATAGCATAATATCATACTATATATTATAATATATACAATATATATATATATATATATATATATATATATATATATAATAATTAATA